TTTTAATTATGTTGTCAAAATAAAACAAAATGAAGAGCAATTCTAAAATTATAGGTATAATCAGACGGCTAATAACGGTGAAAGAAAATATTAAAGCTGACCTTAGATTCAAATGAATCTGATTTCATGATATCATCTTGAATTCTTGTCAACAGTCTTTGTTTACCCGAACTAAACAATAATGATACCCTGCATTGTTATAGCTATAATACTTTAGGTAACTGATACATGAATATCTAGAAACCGATAGCCACCGGTTACCAGTGCGTATACCGGCCAGAAGCCTTCGGGTGATGGTACTTTGTACATTGGTTCCTATTGATACTGATCCAAAAGTTAATGTTTATCATTGAATATCGGTTTTGCGGCAAGATTGGACAAGAGATTGTTTTTTCGTAGTCTTTTTTACATCGGTATTAACTGCTTCGTACATTGATCTATTTTGTCTAAAGACATATTTAACATCAATGTAAAAACAAAATCTAATGATGTCACCAAAAAAACTTTTTGGCGCAATAATTGTTAATAGGCGAAAATTTTTATAAGAAAAAGATTTCTTTCCAAGAAAATGTTTTTTTATTTTCATTTTTTTGACTTCATCTTTTTGTTGAACTTTTTTTTTTCAGTTATCATCGTTTTAATTACGACTTCAATATAAAGTTGCTGTCCGTTATTCAATCTTTCGTCTCTTTTTTCCTTCTTTTTTGTTACTTTCTCTTCTCCAGCTTTTCTGCTCTTTTCATTTCATTTTTTCCATCGTTTTGTGCAAATATTTCGTATACATTTTTTTTAATTATTAAAGAAGTATAGAAGTTGCAATTTGAAAATAACGGCACTCGGCGAGGGAGGAAGCGAGAGAGAGAAGAAACGGAGAGATTTTTTATTTTTTGTTGACAAAAGTTAGATGTTTTCAGAAGCAATTTATTTATTGAAAAGAAGAAATTCAGTTGATATTATAAATTTTTTAAATATTTTTTTGCGTGAAGAAGAAAACTGAGGAAGAGGAATTGAGGCTAGGATGAGGGAGGGTGGAAGGAAGGACAGAGAAGAGGGTTAATTTAAACGGAGACTGTTCGATCGTTCTGTTTCTTTTTTTTTTTTT